CCTCTCAAATCAGTCACCCCAATTTACTGTCTTCTCAAAACGTCCCCCCCCTTCGACCCCCGTTTGTTTTGAACCCCACACCCAGGCTGACAACCCGGACATGGGCGTGACGGTCGCAGACGCGCGGTTCATGAAGCCGCTGGACGTGGACCTTATCCGGCGCCTGGCAGGGGAGCACGACGCGATGCTCACCGTAGAGGAGAACGCCGTCGGGGGCTTCGGCGCGCACGTGCTTCACTTCATGGTCCTGGATGGCCTCATGGACGACGTGAGTTTCATTTTTGCTTGGAAAAATAACGTAAAAGCACAGAAGTGATGTTCGTTCGAGGTCGTTCGAGGTGCATATGACCACTATCCGGGGGGGGGGGCTCTCCTGTTTTTTTTTATTCCTGTCCAGGTCATGGTCCTAGAGGACCTGATGGACTACGTGAGTTGCCTCTTCTTTTTTGTTTCTATTGACTTCATGGTCCCAGATAGCATAGTAGACTACGTGAGTTTCTCTCCTTCTTAGTTTTTGTTGCTGTCCACTTCACAGTCCTAGATGTCCTATTTGACGATGTCAGTCTCTCATTATTGTTTGCGAGAGTGTTTCTCTTGGTTTCATGTATGCTATGCGGTACATTTCGTGATTTGTTTCGTGCTTTTGTGTGTGCATCCCGTTGCATGTACTGTACAGCAATGTCAACGTATTGTGCGCACTCTGTAGCTCCTGCCCCCAGGGCTAGACGCTACAATACTTCCCATTCCTCAAGGCCGCCTACAGCTCTCCTTGGCTTCGGATTGGGTCACACTTGACTCGTGGTGTTGCTTCTCTTGAACGCTCTCATCGGCATCCGTGTCGGTAGTGTTTCTTTCATGGTGAACTCGAAAAGCCCAAGTATGACTTAGTTCTCATTAACGCTTTCATCGGCCTCTGTGTTGGTAGTGTTTCTTGCCAGGTGACCTCGAGAAGCTCAAGACTCGGTAATCCTCATCCCTCCTGCCCCATGTTTCTCACGTCCTCCCTGCACACACCTGGCGTGCGCGCGATTCCTCTCACCTGGCTCCTCCCTGGTATCCACCCCCCCACTCCCCCCCCCTGATGTGTTTCGCGCCTCGCAGGGCAACCTCAAGATGCGGCCTATGGTGCTGCCAGACACGTTCATCGAGGCCGGCACGCAGACGGAGCAGTACGAGGAGGCCGGGCTTTCGGCGGGGCACATCAGGGCGTCCGTGCTCCGGCTGTTCGACCAGACTCCCGTACCCACCCTCTCGGCATCCAAGGCTCCCGCTTCGAAATAGAAGTAGTAGTCGTCGCAAGCGGGGGCTAGAGATCTCCGTGCCCAAGGCTCCCGCTTCGAACCAGTAGTCGTCACGAGCGGGAGGGAGAGATGGGTGGGCAGGGTGAGGTTGATGGTGTGCTTGTTTCTCGCTCTCCCTTTAGTAGGGGGGGGGGGGGCCAG